TATATATATATATATATATATATATATATATATATATATATATATATATATATATATGAATGATTTACCTTAGGAAATTTTTTATAATAAATTGATAAAAAAATATTCTACAAAATATTTTATTTTTTGTCAGAACATTTCTTAACCGTGCTTTTGGATTTACGACTCATACTTCGTGTGTGCCATGTGTTAAATCATGATTGAAGAATTTTTTTTCTATTAGATATATTTGAGGAATCATATTTTTTATTATTTTTTGGTACAATATAATATATAGACAAAATTATTTTCTTGATTTTGAACCCAGAGATAAAAAGGATAAAGTGAACAAATGAAGAAGTTTAATATAAGAAATGAAAAAAAAAATCAACTAACAAAAACGTAGCCACCTAAATATTGAAACAAAGGGGAAATATTATAATTCATATTCGATTAGAATTAAATAGTGGATAAATTTGTCTTTATGACCGTTTTATAGCTCTCTTTTTTTCCTAAATACTGCTTATATAAGTATTATATTTAAAATCAACAGATGGCAAACTATAGTTGCCGAAGTCAAATGCACCCAATACTGGTCTGACTTTAGTTTGACCATGGATTTCACTTTGGGCTCTGCCAGTTAACCAATCGCGACGGTTATAGGCGGTTACGCCGCGTCCCAACCGCAAGCGCCTACGGTCCCGCGTCCATCGAAACTAAATTTACGCATTTGATACGATACCCATGACCGTCTCGCCGACACTTGTGGTCATCGGCGTGGATTCCTGTGGACCCACGGCGAGGCCGTCCTAAGCCGCTGGTAGCCTAAGCGGGTAACTTTGCTTTGAGTGTATGTAGTTTTGGTTTGGCCCCGCGTTGGTCACATTTGAGGTGATTGGTTGGACTTGTGTGGACCAATCATTTCCATGACACGGGTACAGTGACGGGTAAAAGATGTAGGTGTGTGTTACTTTTAACAATGAGGGGGGCACAAGCGGTTCGTGAGCGGGAGGCGCCAACTCAAAACGTACGTCGCTCTCTCCTTTTTCCCTCCTCTTTGCCCCATCCATCCCTCCGTTTCGCCGCTCCGCGATCCTTCCTGACCTCGGTTTCTCTCGCTCCGATTCCGGTGATTCCACCTTTCTCTCACTTGATATTTTTTCTTTTGTCGTCGAGATCTTGATTTCTTGATACTGGTATAGGGTTTCTTTTTTGGTGATGATCGAGACGTCGCTTTCTCTTTCAAGCAGAATGATTTTGATGGTAGCCTTTTGGTTGAGGTTTCCATGAAATATTTCTGTGATTCGTATGCAATGTGCTCGTAACTACCTATTTTGTTCTTTTTTGCCACTAATTTCTCAGAGCTATGATGTTATTGAGAGGATTGGGCCTCTATCCCGCTTCCTCGAAATCGATTGTGGAGACTCCATTGGTTCGATTATGATCTATGTTCTATTTACAGATGATAACGTTTAAGAGTATTATAATGATCCGAATAATTGGTTATAATTTAAATATCTTCACATGATTGCACACAAAATAATTAATTAATTTGATGCTTCTGTATCTTTGATCACAACAAAACATCTTGCATGCCACCGAAACTGCTTGTATTTTGGTTCATTTGATACCTATATTTTATAGGCATTTTAAATATCATAGATTATGTCTATGATTGTCTTGAGGCCATAGAGATGAAAGCCCAATCCTTTTAATAGGAATTTAGCTCGAGTCAAATTATCATATTGCTGTTCCAATTTGACGCAGATTTTTTAATTATTTTAGTTCATGATCATGTTGATGCAATTTTGAGTAATAAGATACTGCCTTTTACAGGGTAATATAGATTTATTTGGAAACTGCTACAGCATTGTTGGTCTGGGCAATGCTTAGATACCTTCCAGGTTAGAAGGCAGGGATGAACATCTCTGCTCTTCTAACTTCTGCAGGCATAAATATTGGCTTCTGTGCTCTTTTCTTGTCACTGTATTCAATCTTGAGGAAACAACCTAGCAATCTCTATGTTTATTTTGGCCGGCGGCTTGAAAAGGAGAACAGTAGGTATCAGGACCCTTTCACTTTGGAAAGATTCGTGCCCTCTGCTGGCTGGATAGTGAAGGCTTGGGAAGTGACAGAAGATGAAATCCTATCAATTGGTGGTCTGGATGCAGTGGTTTTCCTTAGAATATTTGTTTTCAGGTGACTGCAACTAGACTTTTTAAAATATTGTTGGTGATCTCGTGTCCCTTTTCTTCCTATTACTATGTAGTTAGATGTGTGCATAATCAGGAAAATGAATTAAAGAAAGAAAAATAAAGGAAACTTCACAAACATAGTTCTTACTTCAAACATCAAGGATAATCACAAGGTAAAAATTTGCTTGGATCCTTTGAATTATTTTTCATGCTTTCTTCTTGCACTTGGAATTTACTGTTGGTATGTGAATCTTGTTGATGATTGCTTTTCCCACTTCAGAAAAAGAGTCAACGCTTCTGCCCGAAAACCATTGACCATCAGCATGGTGGCATTGAAGTCATTTGACTTGTATGGTAGAAACTAGAAACACAATCGATATGGTTGTTGTCCTTCAAAATTGTTAGATAAGATATATTTATCTGAAATTGGAAGACAACTCATGGTTGTCTTACCTATTGTGTTTGAGATATTATCATAATCCATCATAGCTTTGTAATATAGACAGAATCTCCCTCTTTTTTCTCTTGCATATATAATTTCTTGTTATGATCATTGACATGCTTAGAGAGAATTGTGTAGATACACAGAGTTCTTTTTGCTCACTCTGGTTACTACCAAACACCTTTCTTCTCTTGTGATTTACTGCTTAAAAAGTACTGCTTTTACCTATAAACTTTGCAAGCATATTAGTGACAAGAATTTGAGAAGATGGCAAAAGGTGTACATTAAGATATTTATATCAGGAAGAAGGGAACATATTAGCTTCAACTTCAAGGATATAGTATTAATTCTCTCAAGTGTCTTTGCTAACATAGTTATGTGAGATAAAGGTGATGCATCTGATTCTCGATTAATTTACAGAAAATAAGTCTAAATAAGCTTATTCTTATCTCAAAAGAAAACGAAGTCTAATCACATTTTGCATATATAAAAATATTAATGCAGAATTTCAAATTGTATTAGTTGCTAAAATTGGTCATATTAAAGTTGGGAATTACGAAAAACAGGACGAGCTTTTGACGATGATAAATACATAGACCCTGCCCCCTAACATTAACATATACTCCATGGAAATCTTTGATTGGCTGTGAAAGACAGTTAATTTAATTGTTGTCTGGCATGGATTTTATTGTCTGGTGGAATTATTACAGAGTCACAGACATGATACTGCATATGTACTTATTTATTGGAACTTGAAGCTTACTAGGTCAGTAGATAAGAGGTGCTGCATGTGATTTAAAATTTATGAACATGGCTACCAGTGTCCTTTAAGTGCCTTTAAATTCATCATGTGTTCTTTCTATTTGGAGATGGTCCAATTATTTCTCCTTATAATATTCGAAGGCTATACAGCTTAAATTGAAAATTGGATGATGACACTCATTCCATGTCATGTGCTATTAATTAGACATATACTAAGATTAGTAATATATTTGTTGTTATTTCAGAACAGTATATGATACATGTTATTTATTGTTCACATACTGCATACAGAATCTACAACAAACTAATTTATTGAAATTTGTTGTAAAATTTACCTCCACAGTATACGTATTTTTTCCATCACTGCTGTGGTTTGTGTATTTGGAGTGCTTCCAGTTAATTATTTTGGCCAAGAAATGCAGCACGGGCGCATCTCTTCAGAATCATTAGATGTATTTACAATTGCAAATGTCAAAGGAGGGTCAAAATGGTAAGGATTGGTTTTTTTCCTTTTTTGAAGATTACTTTTATATAAGAGATATGCTTGGTGATTTTTTTTATTAGCACTGCACATGCTTGCTGCTATTACTGCTGAATGAATTGAATGAAAAAGAGTTAGTTTTTAAATAAGAATTGAAACAATATAGACTAAGGAATGTAATTCCTGTTCTTTTTCTCATGGTAATCTCAACATTGTCTACCCTTTGGAACAGAGCTTACTCAGAATTTATGGATATAAGCAGACAACTTTAGAGGGAAAGTGAAAAAAGGTTGTTTATCAGTCCTTAGTTCTTTTAATCTAATTTCAAAGTAAATGTTGGAATATTTAAATGAAAAAATCACCCCTTGTAAAAAGCTATCTTCTATGCATTAACTCTCCAGAAATTAGAACTCATCATTTGTAGTAATTCTTTCACAATACATCAAGTAGAAGCAACATGGAAGGTACGAAAAACATGATTTTGAGATAAAAATATATATTAGAGAAAGGTAGCCATATGATTTCATTATAGAACAAGAAATGTTTACGTTCGTGAACAAATGAGAGATCGAGTGAGAACCATTTCATGTGAACATAATCAAAGGAGACATGCAAATGCCATCATGGTTAGACAAGTTAAATTGATCAGTGGGGTGAGTTTTTTTATATTGCATTATACTACAAACTATGTTTAATTCTTTATGTCACTTGATGAGTAAAAGTGTGATTAATAGAACGCTGTCTGTTGGTCTCAAGCAACCAAGAGACAGTATTCTATAATAATTATCTGAGAATGCTGTCTTTTAGTACAATCATCTTCTGTGCATCTGTAATCTATGATAATTATCTGAACGCTATCTGTTTAACTACAGATATAATGCAATTATTCTGGTATGTGTATCTGAAATTTGAAGCTTGACCATAAGAGCAACTGCTATCTTCACATCATCCACTATTCAACATTAACAAAGTTTTCTGTATTTTGCAATCACAGGCTTTGGGTCCACTGCACTGCGTTATACATTATAACCTGTTCAGCTTGTAGTCTTCTTTATTCTGTAAGAATTTGTTTCTAAAGTGTCAAAACTAAATTATCTCATCTTGCTCTTTTAGGAGTGACATTTTTTATTGTTTATTTTCCAGGAATACAAGAACATTTCTCAAATGAAGCTAGCTCATGTCACTGGATCCCCTCCAAATCCTAGTCATTTTACTATTCTTGTTCGTGCTATACCAAAATCGACAGAAGAATATCTGACCGATACCATTAGAAACTTCTTCACAAATTATCATGGATCAAGTTACTTATCACATCAAATAATCAGTCGAACTGGGAAATTTCAGAAATTTATGGTGTGTATTCAACCCTCTTTATTCCTTTTGTCATGTAAATATCAATATATCATGTTGGAGTACCATATAAAAATATATTTGGAATTTATCTGTTTGGACGTTATGGAACATTTTATGCTCAACAATGACTTATATGTATTTGATTTCTGATGAATGTTTCATGTAATTTGTTCTTTTCTGGAGCACTGATTTTATGCTCTATGATGACTTATATGTATCTGTTTTCAGCTCAACATGCTGAATAATCATGTATCATGTAATTTCACGCTCAACAATGAATATATATTTTGTTTTATGGTTTCATTTTAATGCCCTATCATCTGTGTGCTAATTCCAAATTGATATGTTTTGTGACTTGCCTGTAAAAGGGAGGCATTTTTTTTATCAGTGTGTCATCTGTTTTCTCTTTTGCTAAACTTGTTATCCCTATGGTTATCTAGATGTACCCAGTGATAGCTAATCTTCTGTCATTATATTTTTTATTCTTACTCTGCTAGTAATTTTCATCATTTTTGGCTAGAGAGATCCTCATGATGGTTGAGGATTTGGATATAATATGAAAGACTCTTCTTTGCCAGATTTTGCATAACTTCACCATTATTAACTGCCACAATGCAGGATCTTTAGTTTGGCCATCTCTTCTCTCTCTCTCTACTTCTGTACTCTTTTTTGCTAATATATGCATATGCACCACGTGTGATCATTCCAAGTTTCCAACATATGTCTGGTCTGCAAGAAACTTGGGGTTGTTCCTTTATCCTTTGTGTTATTTTATTGTACATTATTTACTATGATCTTAAAACTAGATTAGTAAGTATGATGAATGGCATATTGGAAATACAACATAACAAATGTAACAGACAGTTGATGGCATGGGATACAAGTAAGAAGGACTGGTTAAGGATATGCCGCATATAAAAAGAAAAAAGAGAAAGCTATTGTTCCCAAATTTTTGGGTTAAGACTAAATGGATCCTTCTCCACTATTTTATTGACTGCTTTACTGCAATGGCACTAAATAATGGAGGGCTTCTAATTTTTTATAATTGTTTCTGACCATGTCTTCTTTAGTCTCCCCTTCCAATTTTAATATTTCAATTTAATCTATCCTTTTTAATGAAGCTGTTGGTCTTCTTTTGACATGCCATTTTAGACTTCTTAATTCTTTCTTCATTTTTTCAATAATATCTTGACCCACAAGAGAAAAAAATGTTGTAAATATAAACATTTTGACTATAGAAGATAAATTCACAATTCACAGAAATATAAAAGACATGTGGTGCCTTTAACTATCTACATAAAATACTTTGAGATTTGTTATCAAGACACTTAAGTCCTAGTAGAATCTGAATTTGGATTTATTTAAGGGATGCTAAGCTAAACTCAAATCCAATTACCTTAGTAGGTCTGAGATGTTAAATTTTGCTATAATCTGTCCCAATTTGTATAAGAATCCAGTTACACTTTTTTTTTCTTCTCGTGTAAACTTTTTTTTATGTATTAGCATTTATGTCACATTGGACTACTGAAAGTTCTTGTTTGCCTCTTCTGTGTGTATGTTGGTAAAGTGTAACAATTTTTCTCCTTGTTTCAGGTGTGAATATAAAGCTCCAATATAATAGTACAATTTCTCATTGTGTTCTGTGTTTCTGTTGAAACAATCTGTTTATGGCAATTTTTTCTATTGCAGTCCAATGCAAAGAAGGTCTACAAAAAGTTTGTCCGGATAAGAGTCACTGCTCTAGACAATAAATGCAGACCAAGTCTTTATAGATGTGGACTTTGCGGAGTAGTGTCCAATTCTTTTCAATTTTACCACAGTGATTATAATGGAAAAAGGACAGATCTGCAACATTCAGACACAAGAAAACGAAAGGTATTTTTTCAGATCTAAGCTTGTTTTTCTCTAATGAAACTCAAAAGATTTGAACATAACATTTCCTGTTTTCTTTTTTTCCTACTTGTTGAACCAGATGAGCAAAATTCAATTAGATGAACATATAATAAGCCATTTATGTGCCTAACTGTTTTCCCTTTTACAAATAGGAATGCTCAGCTGCCTTTGTTTTTTTCAAGACCCGCTATGCTGCTGTTGTTGCTTCAAAGGTTCTTCAGACTTCAAATCCCATGCAGTGGGTAACTGGCATTGCTCCAGAACCATGTGATGTTTATTGGCCAAACCTATGGATACCATTTGGGCAGCTTTGGATTCGCCGACTAGCTACTCTTTTGGCTACCATCGTTTTCATGTTTTTGTTTCTTATCCCGGTAACCTTTGTGCAAGGTCTAACCCAACTAGACCAGTTACAACAGAAGTTCCCTTTTCTGAATCGTATACCTAACAAGTAAGTATTCTTGTCCTGTTTTTCTCTTCAGGTTATCACTCAAATTCTCATTGATTTTTCTTGTTAAGAAGCTACTAGATCATTTCTATTGTGACCTGTATGCATTTCAAACTAGTTATAAAAAGGCATACTATTTCATTACAAGTTGATGCAAAGCATTTTACAGTTTCCATCAATCCTAAAATAAACTCTAACTCTGAGATTATTCCATGAAAACAAATCATTAATCTTGGTGCAATTATGGCTTGTTATCTCACAGTAAGTACTTCCTCTATCAAAGCCTCCTTATGGATATTGGAGGATCGAAATTCCAGCTGTAACTTATATTTATTGAGCCTTCCAAAATTTGATCCATGATACATCTTTCCTTGCTTATGTTGGATTGGAAAGTGAGAGATATCTGACATTTTGTAATGTAGTCTAGTTATTTCTAAAGGGAAAGTCATTTGTCTATTTCTACATGTGGGGTACAATTGAGACTTAATTATGTCCCAAAGTTTTTATAAGGGTCACTGTAACGCCAAATCAATATATTGTGGATAGAATTAAGTTTTAGCATCAATTCCTCTGATTAAGCTTTTTTGGTTTATTATTAGTGGTTAGACGATTTTCCTTGTTGCCCATTTTTATTTAGATGTCTTAGTTTGATTTCTGTTTTGTAATATATTTTCATTTTCCCTGGAAATCCATGACGCTATATTCTTGTTCATAGTTATTTAAACAATTACAGTCAGATGGATTTCTCAATTAGCTGACAGATAAATATCTATACAATCTTTTTAGTTAAATGACTATTGCGTCAAATACATATTTAGATTGCTTGCTATGGACGGTTAAGTTTGAGATGATCAATGTAGGACAAGATTGTTTTATCAAATTTAATAATGGAGATATTTTCCTTTATGATCTCTGGTATTTATCAATGTAGGAATTGTATTATCAAATTTAATCATCAAGATGTTTTCCTTTATGATTTCTGGTCTAATGTGCTTGAGTTATTGGTTCATCAAGATGTGTCCTATGGATAGCTTTCTTGATTATTTGGCGTTCATCAATTCAGTTCTTTCTTGATCGCCTAAGTCAAATATTATATTCATGTTTGCTACTCGAGTCTCACCCTGTTTTCTTTACTAATGGCATTGCTTAACAATAATAAAGGCTGCTAATTGATTTTTTTTTTTTTCTTTTGTCTATTTTGTGGGGTAAAATCTTAAATTTGCTGTCAATGTGCAGGGCTTTTGTGATCCAGTTCGTGTCAGGTTACCTGCCTAGTGTCATTTTACAGGTCTTCCTCTATTCTGTTCCCCCAATGATGATGATGTTTTCTACTGTGGAAGGGCCTATTTCGCGCAGTGGCAGGAAGAGAAGTGCATGTTGCAAAATACTGTACTTCACCATATGGAATGTATTTTTTGTGAATGTTTTATCTGGATCTATCATCAGCCAGCTGCATATCTTTTCTAGACCAAGAGACATTCCTGTCCATCTCGCCAAAGCAGTACCAAGGCAGGTAAAATTTAGATCCATGTTTTTATTTTCATCCAGTTCCAAAATTGTGTAATGTTATATATGATGTTTTCTCAGCTATATAAGCTTGGTGTGCTGTTTCGCTTATGTTACCACGAGTTCGTTTTTGGTGAATTACTGATCTCCTACGCTGCACAAGAATTAGAATGATGATCTAATGCTTTGAGTTGCCCTGTTGCAGGCAACCTTTTTTATTACTTATGTTCTGACATTAGGTTGGGCCAGTTTATCATCGGAAGTCTTGCAAACCTTTTCCCTATCATATAATTGGATGCGGAAATATATATTCAGATTGAAGGACGATCCGAATGCTGTGCCGTCCTTTCCGTATCACACTGAAGTCCCAAAAGTGCTGTTGTTCGGCTTAATTGGTTTTACATGTTCAATATTGGCACCTTTAATAGTGCCATTCTTGCTGGTTTACTTCTTTCTTGGTCATCTCGTGTACCGTAACCAGGTGAGTCCTTTTATGCTTTATGGGACAACAGTTGTAGCCATGTTTTCATCTATCCCTGTGCTGAACAGGTCTGCATATTACTTATATATTGTTTATATATCGTTTATGCCAATTAGATAGACATATAATACCATATATATTGTTAATCTTGAAGCAAGTCTAACAAGACTTCTCATTGTTTCGCCTTGAAATTTGCAGATTCTAAATGTTTACAGCTCATATTACGAATCTGGAGGGCGGATGTGGCCCATCGTGCACAACACCACTGTTTTCTCTCTGCTGCTGATGCAGATTATTGCACTTGGAGTATTTGGAACAAAAGATGCCCCGGTTGCTTCGGGTTTCACTATTCCACTTCTGATCTTCACACTTCTTTTCAGTGAATACTGCAGGCATCACTTCAATCCCATATTCAAGAATTTCTCTGCCCAGGTTGGTGTTTGCAATTTAGAGCGTGTAATAAGCTAAAAATGCAGTTGTTATCTACATACTTAATCATGTACATGATTCTGGGATCCCAGGACTTCATCGAGATGGATAGAGAAGATGAGCAAACTGGTCGAATGAAGGATATTCACATGCAGCTGCTCACAGCATACTGCCAGCTCCCCCCACCAACTACTAATACTGAAGAAACATATTATGATGATTCTGAAACTGGTGATGCTCGTAATCAGGTCACGATCTGAACTCTCTCTCTCTCTCTCTCTCTCTCTCTCTCTCTCTCTCTATATATATATATATATATATATATATATATATATATACATATATATATATATATAAATAAATATATATATATATATATATATATATATATATATATATATATATGTTTATATCAAACAATGATTTTGACTAAAGATTACTTGAACTGCGATTTTATAGCATCATACACAGATTCAACTAATTAAAGTATCAGGATGTATTCATGTAACTAGCATCATGCACTGTGCTCCCAATGTTGGTTGTCACCGGGGAAGGTGTTCATTTAACTGTTTCAAATCTTTTTCGGAAATAAATTTCTGCTCGAACAGTTGCGCATCCCTCCTTTTATTAATTGTCTTTTATTAATGTTGGAATACATACCAGTAGTACGATGATTTTTATGGCATCTGATTATTTATTGTCAACTAATTGTTCATATCTAGAGATAGATGGATCATAATGTTTAAATTTAGTATTATGAAAACTTATAATCCAAAATTCGTTTGTGTTGTAGAAATACCTTATCACATGCATAGGTATAGGCTCCCAAATAGTGTTACAAATGTAATTATTACTGGCTGTAATATTTGCTTGCGTTTGCCCCCAAACTGTATAATCCTAAATCCTGCATTGGAGGTTGTCTCATGCAATCAATCATACTACCTTTTTCTCCTTTACGGCTGCGAGGATGGTCTCCACATTTCTACAAAGCTAGTGGCAAAGCATCACAATATTTCAGCATCATCAAATATTTGCAACTTCTTCCTTATTTTTCATTTTGACATAATGCATTTATGTAATATAAAAAATAATAAGACTGCAAGAGAAACAGCCAACAAAATCAATAAAATGATGAGCAGGCCATAAGCAATGAATCCCTATTTGATTGCTCTAGAATACATTTTTTTTTTTTTTTGGTTTATCAAAAATCCACATGGGTGAGGATCCGAAACTCAATAAAATCATTTATGCTATTAAAAAAAAACAAAATATTACATTCAAAAACATGTACTTATGTATTTTTGAGTCAGAGAGATGAGCAACCAAATATTATTCCACATGAGAATCTCCCAACAGGCGGTACCTCAAGAAGCACTATGTTCTCCAGTTTCAAAAACATCAATATAAGGTATTCCAGATATCCCAATCATCTAAGCAACAACGATCCCCAGATGATGCTCAATGCTGCATCAACATTCTTGTTTCATCCATCACTTAATTGTTTTCAACCTTCCCCATGCTTAACCACAAAAAAAAACTCGGTTGGGTGTCCTGAGAGTGTTATTAGGAGATTCTTCATTTTCTTGGGCCTATATTTGAGTTTTACTGAAACTAAGAATATGACAAGCACAGAAACTCTCCAAAAACAGGCTTCTGATCATACATATTTCAAGTCAAAGAATCATGGCTTTGATTCCTTTCAATTACTTTAAGCTTGCAGGAACGACCAATATTTTAGGCAACAAAGCAGTACAAATGACCAACGGATTTACTCACAAATGCTGCAATCGTCAAACTGACAAGCATCAAAGTGAAGCATATTTTTCGGATTCAAATAAAAAGGAACAAATATTGATGAAAAATCAAAAGATGCAATCTAATCTGTTCTTTCCCTACAAATAAACCCAAAATTTCGGGCCAAGAAGTAGTAGCGAAGAAACCCCTCAAAGAAAGAGCAAGCCACTAGATCTCCGATGCAAACCCCTACACCAAGAAGGCATCTCTCATCCTTGATCGTTCAATCTCAACCAAACCTCACCACCTAAAACCAGCCATTCCCGCATATCCAACATCTCAATCAGATCAAAGAAGGTTTCAAACAAGAAGTGGGCAAATCCCAAGAAAAGGGGTTAGAACAGGATGGAAACAACCAGTAATCAAGAATCAAACCATGTTAGACGCTAATGCTAGAGCAAAGTTCTGTGATCATACGAAGAGATACGGTTGCCCGCACTACCTCGGATTGCCTGGCTCCATCCTGTCTGCCTTCCATCGCTAAGGGGCGAGGGAAAGGTGGGGGGGGAGGGACGGCCTACATTGACGAAGAGGCCCTTCCCGGTGTCCCGCGACCGGCGGCTTCGTCGCTCGGGATGACGGAGCGGCGGTCGGAGGGGAAGAAGGGTTTCCTCTTGGGTTTCGCCATACGAGGGAGGAGAAGAGGAAGAGCGATTGCTCTCTCTCTCTCTCTCTCTGAATCATTTGCGGTTTGTTAAGTTGCTATTTATGGGTTCGTTTCCTCCCTTCTTCTGCTTGCAGAGCGTCACCAAATCGTTCGTTGCTGCGTAAAGCTCTTCCAAAGTGGTCTCATCATCATCGTTTATCGACAACATGATGAATGATCCATCCATCCATGCCGTTCATTCCGTTGCTTACGGAATGGATTCCTCTGCACAGAAATAATCCTATCCAAATCGGGTCTTCGTTTTCGTGTCGGTCGCCGAGGTGAGGTGTGCGAGCAGAGCGAGCGTTCGAACAGAGATGGCGGGTGGACCCTTCCCCTCGCTGGGGCGTTTCGCATGCCAACAATGGCTCGGACGCGGTTGATTCCTGGTGGCGGCCGCCTCTTCTCCTTCTTCACGGAACTCTTTCTTCTGCATCTCTGTCTGTCTGTACTATAGTGCGGCGTTTAGCGACATCAACTTACCACTCGGTCATTACGTCGAACAGGTCAATCTGCACTTTCATGTAATCATAGCAACCAATGAAAGTATTAATTAACTTAGCTGATTAAAGTCTGTAAAATTCTGAGATCAAATCACATCTTACTTTCAATAATGAAGAAGAAGAAGAAGACGAAGAAAAGACTACCAACAATTGCAACTTAATACACCAGAAGAACTCACAACCAACCAGCAAAAGTGCAGATTGACCTAACAAAAATGCTTAGAACGTGATGGATGGATTATATACATTAACACATGCCTGAGTGAGAAGGCTTCAATTGCCCACCGGTGCAACCTTGCCGGATTCAATCCACCATCAAGGAGGCATGTGAACAGGAGCATAAGATACTACTACACTATCTATGTAACACATTAATGTCAACACTAATCATGATTTAACTCCTGATTGACATGATGTTATTGCAAATCCCCTCAGCAACCAACACAGTAAAACTTCACAAACCCAATCTGCTGGCTGATTTGGTGGTTTGGCTACTCACCTTCTTGAGTCCTTGTGAATTTGATAGGTCACAACATAGAGCACATGATAGAACCCTACAACCTCCGGATTTAGGTTAAAATCGAGGGGGAAGCAGAAAGGTAAACAAAACAAAGAAAGATTACCGAGCAACTTGTTAGGAGAAACATCAGTCAGTCTTCCATTTGTTCTTCGGTCCTCTGAACCCATACCTTCACTGTCTTATCATTGCCGAGCGCACCTGAAGCAATCATGTTCTCTGAAGGGTGGCACGATACAGCGATTACACCATCCGTATGACCTTCCAGTTTCTGCACTATTTTCCTAGTTTGGAGATCCCATAGGTACACACAATTGTCCTCCGAGCCACTGACAATGTATTTTCCGTTTGTGACTGAAAATGTTGCTGGGATGCAGAACCGTGAGTTAGCATGACCTGTGTAAGTCTTTAAGAACTTGCCCGCTGAGAAATGCCATAGCCTCTGTATGTAAGATCAGTGCAAAATATAAGATAGGATCATGATATCTCAGATTTTGCTATATCTTTTTAGATGTTCTCTGTTACATTGCAAAATCATTTATTTTGACCTTTGGAAACTTGAATGGGCACAAGAGATAAATACAGAGACAAAGACTAATATATGGTGCATTCAAAATCTTCACGCTTCTGCATCGTGAATAGTGGTGCATATCATTGCATATTGGAATGTGGAAGAAGCAACTGAGATCAGATGTCAACAGACAAGAAAACAAAGCCTAAATAGTTCTCATATACTTGATTCAACAAAACCCCACACAGCTTATATCAAAAAGCAGATAATATCTAAGAAATAAACTCAGCTTAAATATTTGTCAGTTGCTGATGGGAGTGCTAGTTTTTGCCAAAGAAACTATGAGTTTCAGTAACAGATGTTCGAAAAAGAAAATGCTTTAAGCATTTTATATTGAAGAAAGCAAGGCCGTTTCTGGACTTGTTTCCAGTAATAGTTTGATTTTGCAAAACCATGTTTTCATTAGACAACTTAAGCTCTCTCAATCGGAGTTTTCCATATAAACTGCAAGAAAAGTGAGTTCAACTGAAAAACAAACAAAATCAACAATCGACAAAATATGTATATTCTTGGAGATATGACCAAATTATAACCCCCTGGCAAGATATGTGTATTCTTTAAGTATTGACAAGTTATAACCACTAGAACTTCGTCTTTGGAAGTCATCTTATATTCCCTTTCAATAATTTCTCATCAGGGTTGATACTAAAAACTTCTCAGATATATCTAAATGCAATTAAATCAATAATAAGTTCTGAGGTTCTCCATGATGCTATCAAATTAAGAACTGTTTGCTGACAACTCTCCTTTTAAGTCATATACATAACACAGGACTAAAAATGCATTTAGCAAATATATCTACCCATTTCACACTGAACAAATATACATGTTGCAGTTCCACTTTCTTCCATTGGAAGGAAAAAAGAAAATAAAAAAAGAAGTGGGAAAAAGTCTTTACCTTATTTCAGGTTGAGTATGAAAATCAAAACAATAAGAGGAAGGTATCAGTAAACAATACGTCATTAGTATTTAAAGCATCGAAAGAAAGATTAGATCTGACTAGGAAGACCGGAAAATCATAGTGTTTACCTACTTCAGATTTTCTGAAGTCCTAACATGATGATAAAGTCGGTCATGTAACCCCAGAAAAGCTACTCCTCATTTCAAATAACACTATGAAGATTTAATAAGATGATGTTGAGCAACAAAGCAAACATGAATAGCACACATCCATCAATGTTTTAATTAATTATTTGCCTTAGGCCATTTTGACCATCCATGTACCAATGGACAGATCAATCCAGATATGGATGTGTATATATCTTTGTAAATATACACACACACATAGGCAGCATGGAACCTATTACTCACTAAAAAAATTGTAACTCCATTCAGAAAGATAAATGAAAATCGGATGACGATCCTCAAGCACTGCAAGATATTTCTATTTCTTCTCATTTATGAAGCCCGTATCAGTACAACCCAAACGCTAAAGTTTACAGGCTTCAATAGTTTTGTTATTCTAAATTATCCAGTGTTCACAAAGAAAAGACTTCTAGTAAGGCTAAATACTTTTATTAAGAATGCTTCTGAATTCTGATACAATCAAAATGTTTATACAGCAATGTAAAACATAAAGTAGAAATATCGAAGACTGCAACTTGGGTAATCCAACCAGAAATCTTTGCAATCCTAGTCTGACTATTGAAGATATTTGGGCACATTTTAGGTGGGCATAGGCCAGGCTTATGCAGGAAAATAAGATTCCAACTTAACATTAATCTGCACTTGGACTAAGGGATCAGAACTAATTCAAATACAACTAAACATGTACATCTATTTAGTGTGGTTCATATAAGATGTATATATCATATGTGCTTCACACGGCAGAAACCGTATCTAATTCTTCTTTATAGAATGGGAATTATTTTTACCTTTATCCAATTCCTAAAGAGACTGTCAACCTCACACGACTTCCATCTCTCATGCAAGTTACTTTGGACCAAAGCTACTTTTCCAAATGGCTCTGAAAAGGAGATCTGCATATTTTTCTTGTTCAAAACGAAATTCAAAGAGATCCTCACCAAGTTCATTGGATCTGAAGTTTTAACACGTTGATATTACCAAATGTACAAGATATTTTAATACTAACAGGAAAACAAAGTGCTCATGATCACTTAGGTCGCAGAAGTCCCAGTTCCTAATCAACAATAGATAAGGGGCTGAAAGAATTAGCAATAACTCACTCTTATGTTCAACTATCTCACATAAAACTAGTCCTGCTACAATTTTATGGATTAATATCAAATATAATATGGACAAAGTCTATCCAGATAAGCTTAACAAGGACAATAGACCTAGATTAAATTTTCCTGATTAGATAAAGCGCTTTAAATAGTTATAGTTTATCAAGTTGCTTTTCTAGTGAAATTGACTAACACAAGCTTTACAATGTAGAATAAGGCTGCAGAAGAGTAGATGACGGGTTGATCATAAGAAATCAAGCTGCCGAACCACCGAGCCTATCTTGAGCCTTGGGTATAACTGAGAGATTGGACAGAGCTACTGGTGATGGTGCCAATCATTGATAAGATCAATTTAAGCCGACATCATACGGTTGCTTTTAGCCATTTTGCAAGCATTTTTTAGCTCAAATTCTGGTTGAGGAGGCCATTTCACAATTAAGGATCACATTTCTCACAGCTTTTAGTATTTGATTATAATTTCTGCATTCTATATTTTCCGGAGGCCATGAAAGATTCTCATTTTCCTCTTCAATTTTGGCGAGTTCCTTCTACAGTTCGCCACCTATTCCGTTCCCTAGCAATTCGGCTGAAGATGTAACATCCTCAGGACAACATCTCGCGACACATTAATTGCAAACGAAGAAAGGAAGCTTCTTTTCTATCTCAAGAATGAACTCAAGAAAACAGAAAAGAAAAAGGAAATGTTAGGGTACTTACTAATGTGTTGTCGAGGGTGGCGGCGAGCACGAAGTTCCCGTTAGGAGAGAACTTCACAAACGACACCGGGGGGCTCTCATCATCGATAAGGGTCTTCATGCAATGCCCTGTCGCTGAGTCCCAGATCCGGCACAACCCATCGTAGCTACTGGAAACGATGAGGCTCCCATTATAGTTGAAGTCGACGGCCGTGACGGGCTCGGAGTGAGCCGGGAGGACGCGCAGGCACTTCCCCGACTTGACCTCCCAGACACGGACGGTCTCGTCGAAGGAGCCGGAGGCGATCATGTTGGACTGAGGGTTATAGGCGCAGCAGAAGACGTAGTTGCTGTGGCCGGAGAGGGTCTTTACGGCAGTTGCCGCGGCGAGGTCCCAGATCCGGACGGTGAGATCGTCGGATGCAGAGCAGAGGTAGCGGCCGTCGGAGGAAAAGGAGAGGTCGGAGATGCCCTCCTCGTGGCCGGAGAGCTCGGTGAGGAGGGAGAAGTCGGCCGTCGACCACACGCGGAGGGTCTTGTCGCCGGAGGCGGAGGCGAGGAGGGAGCCGTCGGGGGAGAACTTGACGGCAGAGACGGCGCGGTTGTGGCTCGTTAGGGTTTCGTGCAGCACGTAAGGCTGGGGGGCGGTCGCCACGGTGGCAGCGGCGTCCATCGCTGGAAGTGGGCATGGCCCGGAGGTGTGCGCGGAGCTTTCGAGGAGGTTCATCATATTAAAAGGGTTTAAGAAACGGAAGGACTAAATTACCCTTATTCCTTTCATGAAATTTCATATTTATCTCGTACCATTTAAGTTTAATGTCACTGTTGGAGGCAAATGATAATAGGATAATTTAAGCTTAAATATTTCGAATCATTCGATTTTATATTTTATCAAATTAATAAAAATAAATAAATATTTTCGATGGTACAAAATGGTATAGTAACTTTCGATCACCTAATTTTAATTTTAGGTTGATTGATTACATCAAGTCAATCTTTTATGTATTGACTTCAACTCTCACTATTACTAAAACATAACACTCTCCATTCGAATCTCAATTAGCATTGCCCCTAAATAATAATTTTTTATGTAATGTTTCAATTTGAAATTCCAATTTTACCCTCTAGGGTTCGAAGGAAGCGATCTGATATCAAGGTAACGCGGGCCTCCGTTCCTCTCCGCCGCCGCCGTAGTCGTTCCCCTCTCGCAGAGGTCCTGGTGAGTCTCTCCCGACTCCTTGCCCGCGCTCGTTATGCTCGTCTCTCTCTCTCTACTCGTTGCTTTTCGATTTGTTCCTCTGGGGATCTTCTAACGTTCTCCTGATTTCTGGAAGGTCTGAGGCAGGCAAGAGAAGCTCGTTTAAACAATGAGGTATGATAAGTTCTTTTCCTTGGTTCTTTGGATCATTGTCTTATTGCATGCTGCACCGGTGGTTGCTTCGGAGGTTTGTAAGAATGAATCGAAGGATTCTTTATATCGTGTCCTGTTGCATCAAAATGAACAAGTAATCTTTATGTGGCACTTTTTTTTCTTCGGATCTATATGTATCAGCAGATTCTTAGACAAACTTAGTCATCTGTTGGCTTAGTTTATGGTGTTTACAGTAGCAGCAATGAGTAGGAACTTACAGGCGTATTGTTCCTTTGCTCTTCTTGCCATTTATTTGCATGTTTGAAATAAGAAATGCGACTGTAATATATCGATCCTATTAGAAGTCATTCCAGTAAGGTCATAAACACTGCTTCAGTATACAGACTCAATATTGTGTTAACCATTATGAATAGGTGTTTTTGCTCCATTATGTGATGTAGTGTAGTTACGTTTTACATTGATCCAGATCGATAGAGACACCTAAGCGAGGATTTTGTTTTTTTTTTTCTTTTGTTTCTCATTCGATGGCTCCTCTTCTAGTCCACGACTCTTATATCTTGTTCCATCAGTTGAACTGCCTTTTTTTTATGTTCTAATTAATATACACCAACCGCAGGGCATATTTATATCTTTGTGTACATGTATTTATCATGTGTTTCATTTTGAATGCATTATTATTGCTGTTGCAGCAAGTTGCAGAGTGACGTCCTGAGGGAAGCAATCTCCCAGGTTGTTGGTGATTCTCGGGAGAAAAAGCGTAAATTCACTGAAACAGTAGAGTTACAAATTGGGCTGAAAAATTATGACCCTCAAAAGGACAAGAGGTTCAGTGGGTCTGTGAAATTACCCCATATTCCTCGTCCCAAAATGAAGGTGTGCATGCTTGGGGATGCTCAACATGTCGAGGAGGTAAAGCATATTCGAATTTTGTGTTATGCTTGTAAATTTATTTGGCATAGGAATTGTTTAAAGGATCCTGCTGTGAAGTGCCCTGATTCTTCAGAATTCTAGTTTGTACTACCATAATCGTTATTCGCAGCACCACCTTTCTACTATACCACACAAGTAAATTTAGCAATTTTCAATTCATCATTGATACAAATGCCAGAAGATTATGTTTACCATATCTTTGTCGTCAACTCTGATATTTATGAATTCAGTGATGATGGGCTTAAGATAAGTAGCAATTGATGTGACCTGGATTATAGCATCCATCCGTGTGAATGGTTTCAAATGCTTATCTATGCATTCTTGTGTAGTTCTGATATTTATCCAGCTGTCTGATTGTAGTTTGTGAGTGTTGGATTCTTCCAAGTAGTCAATGCAACATTATTCTTTTTGAAAATATTTTTTACTTTATTTCAACGAGGACATGGAAATAGCATTTATGCTTTCGAAATGTTTTCGCCTGCGAATATATAACTGCATACTGTCTTCTTGCGCAATCAGATTTGGATGATTGTCTGCTTTTGGTTCTCTTCTGTTTGTGCACCTTGGATTTTATTGTGTTGTACTAATGCTTGCCATTGTCGATGCCAGGCAGAGAAGATAGGACTGGACTACATGGATGTTGAAGGTTTAAAAAAGATGAACAAGAATAAGAAGCTGGTTAAGAAACTTGCTAAGAAGTACCATGCTTTCCTAGCGTCGGAGGCTATCATCAAACAAATCCCTCGGCTCCTTGGACCTGGTCTTAACAAGGCAGGCAAGCACTATTTCCTTTGACTCTTACTTCATTCTCGATGACCCTGAGCACCTTTGTTCGTGATGTTTTGAAAAAGAACCAATGTTTCAGTTGTGATATGTTCTGTTATTTCCTCATCTTTTTCTTGTTTTATAAAGAGAATATTAATGTCACATCTGACATAGTCAAACAAATCAACCAGTCAATAGTTACTATTATGAGTTGACTGGCAATACTACACTACATGCATATAGTGTTACAAGAATCGACTACTAATAAGCATCTAAAATTTATGTACTAAAGAATATCCTATTGGAAAGCAATTATTGGATTGTTATGACGGAGTTATGTTTTCAATCATTTGGTGGCACTATAAAATGCTTTTAGGCCCTTTGTAAATCTGTTCCCTTGATTCATATACTCATTGGAATGCAATATTTCAACTCTTTCCTCATGGAAACCATAGATTATTTTATAATGGTGGTATTGGTATTAGTGATATATTATTTTTTTTGTTTGGCATTGAACTATGGTTGTCTATATGAGATTGCCCTATGCTCTCTTATTATAAGAAAGCTAAAGCAAACTAAGACTCAGAGATAACTATTAGTTGCAAATTATTGAAAAAAGAAGTTGAGTAGAATATACTTTGAGAACAAGGATTAGGTACAGTCACTATGTTTCCATTGCTCTTTGTTTGTTTTAAAGCTCAGGTAACAATCTCCTATATGTTGACCTCGAAATCTTGCTAATTTTTTCAAAAACTTCTACAATGTGTGCATTTCTTCCCCTCTCAGTTTACATCTTTGACTTGTGATGCAGGGAAGTTTCCCACATTGGTTACTCACCAGGAATCATTGGAGTCGAAGGTTAATGAGACAAAAGCGATGGTGAAATTTCAACTCAAGAAAGTTCTTTGCATGGGTGTTGCAGTGGGAAATTGCGGGATGGAGGAGAAGCAGATCTTTCAGAACGTTCAGCTCAGCGTGAATTTTCTTGTGTCCTTGCTGAAGAAGAATTGGCAAAACGTGGGTTCCTGGACATCTCTAATTGAATTATCTTTATATCAAATGATTGATTATGTTTCGTATTCATCTTACTTTGCCTTGAAATATTGTTCTCTTCACTTTTGTTCATGAAAGCTGGGTCTTTTTGTTTTCTGTTTTGACGGCACTATGATCCTTTCTCCAGTTTATGCTAATCGAATTTAATCCGCTGGTTTTGGAGTAACTTCATGCTCATCTCTTTTTGGTTATTTCTTGTGGTTAGAATCACTCGAAAATTTGGACCACCACTTTGTAGCATTTGTAACATGTAATTTTTGTGCCACTAGGAGTTCTACTCATTCATCTTTTTCCACAGCTTGCCTCAGGGTCTTGCTCCCACGGTGACCGCATTCTTTATCAGGCTGTCATGTTTCCTTTAATCTCCAAGCATCATTTTTAATCCATCATAATCCCATAAAATCTCGTTTACTTGTTCAATTGTATCCATATGCCCCATTACTGATTCCGCAATGTCCTTGCCTACACAGGTGAGGTGCTTGTACCTGAAGAGCACCATGGGGAAGCCATACCGAGTGTTCTAACTGGCTGCTGGTGATGGTTGATGAAATGGAAGTTCTACGCTATTTGATTTATCAAGCAGCAATGAAGAAAACTGAGAATACCAATCAAAATTTTGCTTATCAAGCAATGCAGAAAGATGGGAGTGTTTGAACACCATCAAAGTGTGTTCTTAATGTCTTGACAGACTTTGTGCATCTGATGCTTTCTTGTGGATTTTTCTGGCTTCTCTGTGTATCATTATTCCCTACTGAACCATTAGTTTGTGTGTTATCCCATGAAAGTGGAACGATATTAACTTTACAAACATTTAATTATATCTATATACAATAAATTAATCAATATTTTCTTATATATGTGTGTTTGTTTGTTTGTTGAGAATGTTGAGTTGATAAGATACGATTGTTTTGTATAAATTAGTATGAAAATATTCATAAAAGAGAATATTTCATTTATAGCAAAATAACTTTCATATATATATATATTCTCTCTTTCTACAACACAATCAAATCAGCAGCACCAGTTTTACACGGAAAAAGCTTCTAATCATCTCTCTCATGCTGTGACTCTGTGCCTGCACTATACACTCATCGCATACAGAGAGAGATACATCAATGGCTACAAGCTCTTTCTCCCGTCACGTCACGTGTCGTGCAAGGCGTGAACTCTTATGGGAAGCCCTCGTCGGAACTCCACGAAGGGGAAGGCGAACGCTTGGTCCGCCTCCGCCAGCTCCCACGTGTAGCTCAACACGAGATGGTGCAAGAACACGGCCATCTCCAGCTTCGCCAGCTCCGACCCAGCGCACAGACGAGGCCCGCCGCCGTAAGGCATGAAGCTGTTCGCCACCGCCGCCGCGTTGTTACTCTGCAGAAGACAAATCCGGTGCTCTAATGCAAAGCAGGTAAAACTATACATACTGCTTGCATCTATCTGCACAGTATACACATATATTTGTGATGATGCAGATTAGCTTAAAATATTCAAGCTGAGGTTGATATTGATTGATGTATTTTTTTATATAATTGATATGATTGCATGAAAAATCTCTTACTGTATCATAATATATTCCTTAATTCTACAAATATTTTATCAATCTCATAGATAAGATAGATAATGAACCTATTAATTTTGTATAGCTCAAATTAGTGATCTAAAATGTTTGAACTCATCATATCCTTATCGATCATTCAAAGTCTTAATCCACTCCAGTTTACTTGTGTGCCTTTCTATGATATGTGCCCCCACCCAATTTTCCTTTTCTACAAAACTACATCATTGTGATATTGACATGCAAAATGGGCCACATTATGATTTGATATGCCCTCACCATTAGGCTTAGCTTATCATACAATCTATGTGTCTTGCAGGTCTTGGACACCCTACACACAGTCTCAAATGATCTATGGCATCGAATCTAATTAATCTGGTCATCGACAAGCATAGATATACTGGTGACAAGTATATATCAATCCAGCGTGGAAGCCAATTCCACTTCACCAAAGTGACAACATCGAACTAGCTACCACCTCCCTCAATCGATTGGGTACAACAGTCCCATATATCCCAAGCTTTAATGTCGTATGTCACCTACTGTTCCGCTTTGTACAATAATAGGGTCACCATTCATCTCATCTCGATAGAGCACTTTGTAATGATGAATGCCACCCATAGTCTTGTAGGCCATGAATTGGAATGGGTCCTTCCGAGAAATTATTATCTGAATCTAACATAGATCTACATGCAATCATCCAAGTGTCGGTCAATCGAAATATTATGTTAGCGACTCATCTATCTATCGACTTAAACTTTTGGATAATTCGATAGTAACTCTGGTTCCAAAAATCTAGTCTTGTTTATAATCACGTATGATCACTCAAACTGACTTCTCATATGACTGATGTGGCAGCATAGTAGCCCTACTTTTTTATGGATCAATTAGAGCTTAGTCAAGAAGTTATCATATCAATCATATATTTAAGCATAAAATCTTGATAAACAGTATTCTAATTTTATAAGACTAAGACAAAATGATTTAAACGAATATATCGTTCGACTACCTCGATCCTTGATAATATAGATGAACTGATTTAAATTATAAATCAAACCTAATACATATCGTCTTACTTTTATAGGTTAAGAATCAAAGATTATCCTTTATTTTTCTAGAAAATTAATATTCTATCTCACAGCTTTGCTTCCAACATCTCGGCTTGCCATCAGCCTCACCGGTGTATCTCAGGAGGAAATTGAGGTGTTAGACTTTTCTACAGTAGTTGTCAGGTAATTACTACTCGGCACGGCAGTGTATAGTTGCAGGTTTTGGGTTTCCTACAGAGATAATGATAGAAGTGGAGCCCATCCATTCTACCACTGTCACCCTCTATCTTCGCTGCACTCTCTGGTATGGCCACCACAGAAGAGAGATCACGGTGTCTTGCTTCCAAGACTCGTACCCCATGGCCACTGGTTTGCATTGATTGAGCCCCATGCTCACGACTCTATCACCATTAACTCTCGCAGACACAGGATCTCTTCTTGTGCAGCATTGTGTCCCCCAAACGTCGTCAGCTCGATGAGTTGATATCTGTGCGATCTACATCCTAAGTTTGTCCACGTTGTGAGGTCGTATGTGGTTTGTTCATCCGTCGATGATGGTATGTATAGACAGGAAGAGGTCGCTTGTTGATGTAAGTTTGTCCACGTTTTGAGGTCGTATGTGGTTTGTTCATCCATCGATGATGCCACGGACAGGGAAGAGGTCGCTCGTCGATGCTACCCTTCCGCGAGCGATAGCATTCACGGATGGTACGTACTACTACAGCATTGATTTGAGTGGGAGTGGGACTAACCTGCTGCCACCTCCAGGGGTTGAACCCGTGCGGATCATCGTAAATGGAAGGATCCAAGTGAACTGCTGCGAACACCGGTAGAATTTTCCATCCGCAGGGAATGTTGTAGCCTTGGTTGGTTTGCAGGCGAGACACAGAGAGAGAGAGAGAGAGAGGTGTCAGTCCGTGCATGGGGGAATCCGACATGAGAAGGGGGGGGGGGGGGGGGGCGTGAACGAAGCTGCTGTACCTTGGTACTCCACGTCTTTGAGAACCTTCCTGTGGACGAACCTGACGACGTTGCCGAGCCGTAGCGTCTCGTTTATGACCTTCACGCACGAAGCACAGATTTAGAGATGACGAGAAGACCTGATGAACGAAGCATATGGATCGAGTGTGGTAAGGAGCCTACGCATTGGGTGAACTCCATCCGTCTGTAGTCTTCCCAGTTGAGTCCGGCGTCTCCTCTTTGCTTCCTCTTCCGGGCAATCTCTCTGTGCTCGATCTGACCAGTAGATATGATGTTAGATGTGGTCACGACAATTTTAGAACGTTAAGGTGAGATTGATGGCTCGGATTTATACCCTCAATTGTCGGACAGCTTTTGGGCAGCCTTCGAGGAAGAATATGGCTAAAGCCAGAGCCATCGACGACGTCTCATGGCCAGCGAAGAGCAAGCTCAGCAAGAGATCAAGAATCTGTTCTTTGGATAGGTTTGACTGCTTTAGAGCCCACCCGAGCAGATCCTCCGATCTTTCTTCTGTCTCGCTCGTCATCTCTTGGATCCTTTCCTCCATCTTTTGTTCAATCACCCTAAGGATGTTTGACCGCGACTGCAAGGGCAAATCTTCTGTAATCTATTACGACATGCCATGCCATGCCATGGTCAAAGACACACAACTACAAAACTGAACTTATGATGATGATGATGATGATGATAAGACTTGCATTAGTTTGCAGCCAAAAGCATGTTAATCTGAATGATGAGGAAGACAACAAACTCAAGCTGGTACTTCACAATCATTCCTAATTATGAGGTGGGTCACGTTTATAGCTTTTCATTTTTCTTGCCGATCCAGCATAAATAAAGGCAGAGGTGGAGCAATCAATCTCTAAATATATATACCACTTCATGTAATGTAAAAGAAATGGCAACTTTAATGAGCCAAAAAAAAAAACCTTATAATTCATGTCTTTGATTGGTGAGATTGACAGGTTGCGTACCTTCAAGGCCCTCCAGTATGCAGTTCCGGGGAAGTTTAGAGGAGCAGATACTACTCCCTTCATGAAGGTTATGTACTCCAGCCTCAGCTTCTCTGTCTCAGGCTCGCGTGGGTTCATGCTCATGATGTTCTTGGCCATCAAATTGAAGGTGAACTGAAGGTTAAAAGGGATGAATCAAAGGCCATCAGCAGCACACATAGTACGAGGCCGGGATGGAGGAAGCACGCCTACCTTCTTAGCTTCCTCCTGTGCCGAGAAAGTAGAGCTCTCCCTCCAAGACCGGAGGACCAGCAGCGTGTGGCGCTCCACCTCGGGCAGGAGGTGGGAGCGGAGCCTCAGATTGCTCATGAAGTTGAGCGAGATCATCCGCATTTCTCTGTGCATTTCGCCCACCTGAACAAGCATCGACCACTTGCCGAGGATCCCCCCGATGCTGCTCGGGTAACTGCACTCGAACAGCTTCCCCTCGTTCTGAAGAATGAAGCGGTTCAGCCCTGCGTCGGCGGAGACGATGGTGGGCTCCCCGAAGAGATTCGACCTATAAATCTTCCCATGCCTGAACGAAAGCGAGCGATCAACTTCTCCACCGCCGCGGATGATGCTACGTACCATCACCGCAAACAAGTTACCTGGCGATGTGCTGCTCCATGAACCGGCCGACAGTGGTGGCCGGATGAGGCTTGAGGTAGGCGAAGGTGTCACCGACGAAAGGCCAACCGGTGCCACCAGGCGGGAGGTTCAACCTCTTCCTCCTCCATTTGGTGAGGTAGACATAGAAGAACAGCGCCACCAGAGCCGGAGGGAGGAAGAACAGAAGCTCTTCGGCCATCAACATGGACATGGATTCGGGTACTCAGCTCCCTGTCTTGGATGTGCTAATTGGAGAGGAAAGGGGAAGGGAGGCGGAGCTTTATAGAGCAATATAACGTTGGAAAAGACCGAGTCCTATCAGAATTGGCTGGAAAGTCGAATGTCTCTTTATAAGCCCATAGCGGTGGAAAAGATCGGCTACAATCTCACTGGGAAAAAAAGGTGCATGGCAATGGTTCGATGTGGGTGGGGAAAGTGGGTCGCGGGATTGGACGTGTAAGTTTCGGGGGCAACACTTTGCGGGGGCGGGTTAAACGGTGGGGCCCAGAGAGGGTGAAGGGGAGACGTGCGCTGTGGGGTGATGGCATGGGGACAAATCCGGACACGCCCGCTTGATGGCACTTGTTCTTATTCATGTCTGTTGCAGGAGATCCGAGAGCCGAGAGCTAAGAGCCTGATGTGTTTGGTCCATCACAATAAGTCAATCTGATCACCTACGTAGACTACTTACAAGACCGTGGAGATACAACAACAACAGACTCATTTGGGCAAACAACACCAAAATATATATATTTATTTTTCTTTCTGATTGATTGATGTTTTTTTTTCATTTATTCCGTATCTATTTATTAAAAAAAAAAAGATGAAATTACTCTTGAACACTATCCCACCCCCTTTACCTCTCCTCTCTGCTTCTCTTCTTTTCTTTCATCGCCCATGCATCCTTGTCTTCACTTATAACACTAATGTTGTCGCATTCTACGTTACGTGCAATGTTGACATCCAATCCATCAACTCTCTTGCTCGTTATCACGAGTGTATTCTCGTCATCCCCTTAAGTTCTCTTCGACCTCAGTCATCATGTTTTTTATGACAAGAAGAAGAAGAATGACATGGTGACCTGGCTCCTTTTGAACTTTGGTTATACACATCTCAAGATTTTGATAGAAGCGTTCGAGTTCGATTCGATTATATTTTACTTCTTGAACATAGAGGGTACAAGAGTAAAAACAATAATGAAGACAAGATGGAACGAAGATGACCACAATGATGAGGGATGGAAACGACTATCGACGAGGGCGACACACGACAACGATGGCTAACGGGTAATTTTATCATCGAGAAAATAAGAGACGTTGGACAAAAGTGCTAATAAAAAAAGAATAAAAATAAGAATAATATTTTGGTCTAAATATTAGTTAACTATAACTGAATTAAACTACTTTATCTTTAAATAATAGTTGAGCATTTAAATATCTTGCCAACAAATCCAAACTTCTCATCACCTTTCTATCTTTTTAGCAAGTCATACATATGTGACGTATAATAATCACCAAAAGATTCACATTTCTTTTATGTACAACAGTCGCCCATGACATTGCTGCCATCTCTCCGAGAAAAGAAATCCCTCGCTATTCTTTCCTTGTCACAATAATTCAGTATTGAACACATCGTTGCATAGGAACGAGCGCATTGCACTCATGTGATGCTATTTGACGTCGATTTTGAGACGGTTCGTACCGTTAATTTAGAGGTGCAAAGTGTCGTTATTTGGTGCAGTAAGGAATGCAGCAGTGGGCGAGTCTTGGAATCCAATCATGATGTCACGGACGGACCTCATTAACATATCCTCCTTCAAGCAATCATGGAAGCATTTGGATGCATAAGCCACCCATCATTGCATGCTTTAATACTCGGGCTGCCTCGTGATTAGCCGCCCAAAATGAGTAAGATGATCGTAATTATCGCCCCATCACTCGATGCTGTTATACCGACTATTAACGAGGAATCATTAAATGTAAATAAAGATAAATTATTTAATATAATGGAGGGTATGTCTCTATCCACGTGTGAGTGGATCACTTACTAAGACCTGCGGTCTCATCAGCCAATCCAAATCTCTGCCGACCCCTTAAAGCAACCTTTCTTCATACCAAACTCTGAACACTGAACACAACTTGGATCACATATTTGTTCTTTGGTCCCCAACGCTTGATGTGCATTAAGTCTCTTTCATCAAGTGTTTTATTCGGCTGATGCTTAGTACCCAGAAATATCCCTAGTTTGATTGAAATTAATTTCTTAATATTATTTATGAAGATTCAGTAATAATATTTTTTACTTGAGAAAGAACACAAAATAAAGCACGAAAATGACACGAATAAATACTCGTGTCCACGACATAATTGTGCTGATCCCCCTCCCATTATTGGATTGCCTCCACGGATTCACCAATCGCAGGTCGAAACGTGTCCGTCCAATGATTACCCTCGTCGTCCTCCTCTTCCGACGTGGTCTCACGTGCGCCAGACTAAACTCTCTTCCTCCTACATACATTTATAGACCCTTCAACGTCTGGAACAGTAGAAAGCCTGCACACCGAGAGAGAAAGCTTCCTCCTCCCCTTCGTTTTCCTCTCTCTCTCTCTCCTCCTCCTCCTCCGTCCTCAGATCTATCACGCGGGGGTCCTCCACCAACCTGTAGATGAATCGTCCAAGTCAAAGTTTGACTGTTATCACATCACGTACTCGGGAAGAACAGCTTCTTCTTCAAAAGCATGAGGGAGAGAAAGGTTACAGTAGAAGAGTGAAAGGATAGGATTACGTATCACGTGCTGAACGGCGTGTCGAGAGGAAAAAGAGGCCGGAATAGTACTCGAGACCGAAAGCTTGGAATATATGTATTACAAGTTGAGCGATGTGTATGCGGAGCTCGGTGTATTTTAATACGTCATGGAGTAGAGCAATCTGTCTCATTTGAAGAAGCGAATCATGTGGAAAGAGACGGATCGTATGGATTCGATCACCATGATCTAGATGTTGTCTTGGTGCATATTAAGTCCACCGATATTGTATGCATCGAACCTAACGCTACTGTCGGCTTCACTGCTGACCATTGCCCGGTGCTATCATCGCCTTCTTATTTCTCTCTATTTTTCTGGTGTTCTTTCGGTGGAGAAACCAGTCGTGGACGTGTCTCTTTCCTGCAGGTATGACGGCCCATATTTCTCTCCATTTCCTCCCACAATATAGATCAACTGTTGCCGATGTAAATGATTAGATGCATCTCAAAGAAGATAAGTATTCACAACGCACGCATCTGCATGAGGTTACAACTTAGGAGTCAAAGCTGAGCTATCTCACCCACCATGACTTGGTGTAGTCGAGTGATTACAACCCGACGACAAGAGGATGTGAGGGTCTGATACGTCCACACAAACAGGAGAACTAGATTCATACGTGGATAAGTCCTCGAGTCATTCCTGGTGCAGTTTGATCGAGGAGGGGAGTAGAAAGAGATGCATGGGAAATCTGGCACTTGGATGCTTCCCAACCATTTCTTTCTTTTTTCCTTTTTCTTTGCTCTTCTTTCGACTTTGGATTCAATCATGGCGGAGCTGCAAACGAGGCCATGCGTGAGAGAAAGTGAAGGAGACCTCAAAAGGAGCATGTGTACCGGCAAAGCTATCCCCAAATCATTGCCCATGGCCATCTGAGAGTTAAACAAGGTGTGTGGTCCTTGGAGCACTGAGTAGCCCCTACAATGATAACTCTGAACAGGCCATCCTCTTTTTTGACTAGCTAGGTTTTGCAGGACATGATCATAAGATATGTTATCTGGGTGACAGAACTT